ACGGTTTTCATCGGATCCTTGGCCATTCTGCTCATGTTCTTAGTCGGATGGATCGTTCGAGAACTCATCGGATGTTTCGGTTTGAGAGCGAGTAGATGATATTGCCTTTACTTCCAGAATTTTGCAAAACGAGAAATATGTGCAGCTGCGAGAAGATCAGTCTTTCTCATCAATATCGGTAAAGATCGGTAGAAACGGAATGAAGGACAGATCACGTCGCCGAGCTTTTTCAACTGTGGTTACGAGATCTGCTTGCGTGTTTTTCGGTTGACTTTGGCAAGGGTTTTCCCCGGTGTCTCTCCGCTGACGTTGTGGAGACCTCGAGCGCCGTACGCTTTTATCCCGCGTGAGAAGGTTTTAGATCTTCTCCACCCAGGCTCCATGTCGCTTGTCCAAACGAAGTTGTCCGATTGGGAATTCGCTGATGACACTGTAGTATCCGGCCTTTTGCTGCATGCGTTGCTGAGCTTTTTTGTCTGGGATTTTAGTGTTGGCCGCTCTCTCGGTGTGAGGGCCAACCGTGACAAGACGGAGGTGATTCATCTCCTAGCGCCTATGCTCTCATCTTGGGTAAGGTACTTGGGCAACTGGTTGGATTTAGCTGAGGATGGGCGCCGGCGTGTCTCCAGGATGACTGGCGCTTTGCGAGAGCTGAATCGCATTGGTGGCGCTGCGTTATCAGCAACCGACCTTCGTGTCAACCTTATGTCACGCATTAGGCAGCCTGGGGCTTTTGCTGCGGGCGTGAGAACTTGGACGAAAAAGCAGATCAAGGAGATCGAGGTCGTTTGGAGCGATGGCTTATTGTCACTGGTTGGCCAGCCTAGGTATGTGTGCCATCTCTTTCACATACCGTTAGCGCGTTTGCATCGAATATTTCGAATTGAGTCGATTGAGGCGCATTTTCGTTACCTTCAGTGCTCTGAAGTTGGACATCTGATTAGGGCACCACCTGACCGCATTGCCCGCGCGGCGCTCTTTGGTTTTATCACGGCGGGGCTGCCTTTGCCTGAGGACTTGTTGTTGTACACACCGCGTCAGGGTATGCGCACGTTGTGGTCAGATGTTCGCCGATGTTTAGCCATCTTCGCTGCTGATGTTCCAGATGGACATATCACGGATAGCGCTATCTGTGCTCTAGCGCTTTCGCGGGAGCATTGGAATACTGTTCTCTACGAGATGCGCATTCGGATGACGTTGAAGCTCTATGATAGAGATCGAGAGATGACACCATTCGCGAGGCGCAATGCAAAGACGCACTGGATCGCCCAG